TATGGGATTTTTTTTTTTTAAATTTGAAAGGGTTAAGAAGAATTCTCATTTGGGGAAATTTTGACCGTACTTTCCTACAGCGTTAGGCTTCTCTGTTGGGTCTCTTCTGCTAGAAATGTTTCAATTTATTTTTGTTTGTGTTCTGTCTTACGCAGCTAAGAAAACAGTTTCAAATAGGACAAATTGTCTTGTTCCAGGGAGGAGGTCTGATCTGGAGAGTGAAAACAGCTTGCTACTTGGAGAGCCGTCCACAAAAGAACAAAGCTCTAAGGACAGTTCCCTACACTGTGCCCCACAAGAGATATTATAGAGCCAAGATGTTGGCCTCGGGAAGCACTACTATGTGAGACAGTCTCCTGGTTAAGTGGCTTTTTTTCCTAGCATTTATGTGCCCAAGTGCCTGCTCCTCTGGGTGCTGCTCCTTTGGGTATGGTGGGCAGGGAGGCAAGTGCCTGGGGTATTCCTTTCTCCTGCTTGTAAGAAAGGGGAATTGCGTTAGTTCATCTCACAGGGATGCTGGTGCACCTTTCTGATAGTCTTTAATAGCTGGTGTGTAGAAGAAGAGTTGAGTCTATTTTAATCGGGTATGCGTCTCTCCCATGTTTGTGTTTTGCATGTCACTGGCAACAAGAAAGGAGGAAATGCTCATGAAAGAGCCAATGTTCCTGCACAACATTCGTGGAAAATCAGTTCTGGATGCACAGAAGTGTGAGTTTCTTGTGGCAGCTGGACGGAGAGTTACATTCGGATGCTTAGAAAAGTGAGATGACATCATATGATCTGTACATCTTGTGAAAATGAATCAGCGCTACTATTATTAAAACATCTCCACTTGTAATTGCTGCTTTGGCAGACTGGTCGTAATGAAGAATTTTAAACTTGGTGTAGGATATAAATCCCGGTAGGAAGGATCTCTAAAAGCAACAGGAATTTTGCTGCTTGAAAACCAGACTCAGTTTGGTCCAATTTCTAGCCAAAGTGTGGATTCAACACTTCTGGGTTCTCAATTAAAAGGTGATCATCACATCATCAAGAGGTCCAGACTCACCACATCATCAGTCTGTTTTCCAGAAAAAGTCACTCGTGTCCAAAGGACAACTGGAAATGCCTAAATGAGATGATAAAAGTGGTAAGTGTGACCTGAGCCAAGAACCATTTTGCTGTCAAGGTTTAAAAAAAAATTTTTCATTAAGAAAGGTTAGGAAATGGCAGTCTTTTAATAGACAACTCAAGAGACTAAATTTGTGAAACTCTGTAGAAAGAGGAGCCGGTGGAAATTTATTCTTACATTTACACCTAAGGCAGTCACCCTGGATTTATTACTACATCTCAGGCTGCAAACCTGAGTCTGATTTATTAACTACTGTCCCTTTCGGTTTCTTATCCAGGGTGGTAAACCAGCTGTAGAAAGCTGAAAAGAAGTTGAGCTGCATGTCTTGTCTTTTCAGCCTGTTTCTTGTGTTCACTTTGGTCTATAAACAAACATCTCTCAGGTCTCCTAAATAGATTTTCTGATCGAGTTCCCAGAACAGACCACCACCAGTCTCATTAAGGCTTATTTATGCTACTTTCATGCATGAATAAAAAAGCTCCCATTCACTGCTGATTTTATTTAGTTAGCTCCTGTGCCTTGTGGTGGACATTGAGTTGGAATGACATTTTTGGCACAAAAAAAAAATAAAAATAGTGGGACTGCGGAGAACAGTTTGATGCCTGCATCTTTTGCAGTATGAAAAGGAAGGGGTTAACCTGTTCTTGGCTGTGTGGTATTGATTGAGGCCCATGCAAAGAAAATACAGCTGTAAATGGTTAGGAGTATTCCCTAGTAGCTGGGGGTTTTTTTTGGGGGGTAAGTCATTGAACTGGGACTCTGGAGGTATGATCTGTTTCCCAGGGATGCCACCTGCTTCCTGCGAGATAGGAGGAGGAAGGTCACTAGTTGCTCTAGGTCTCAGCTCCCCAGCTGAGAATGATGCTTTCTCCCTCCCCTGCTTTTTCCAACTTGCTTGTTTATGTCGCTAGCTTTTCAGCAGAGTAACATCTACTCTGCCTGTGTGCTGATGGGTCCTGCTCTCAACTGGGGCCTCTAGGCACCACTACGAATAACAAATATGATTTTCCCTTTACGCTTGTCTCCTTCATCTCCATCCATGCTGCAGTGCCTGTGAGGTAAGATTAACAGCTTAAAAAAAAAAAAAAAAAAAAAATCAGTAAAGGTGAAGAACAAGGGAGTAAAGATCCAGCAGGTGTGAAAAGTTGTGAAATGGGTTTGTTTTTCTCCAGTCCTGCTGGCTGATGATCTCACGCAAAGGTACCGCATTTTGGAGAAGTATTTGAGCCTGTCCTTTAAGTCAAAAGGGTGAACAAAAAGCAGCTTTGTGTGTTTCCTTTGTGCTAAGCACATTGTGAATATTCTTAAGCATTGCCACAAGGATTAACATCTCTGCATTTTAATGTGCCTGGTGCTGGAATGTAGCTGGAAAGCAGAGCAGGCAGGAATGGTCTCTCCAGGCAGTGGGCTCTGCTAGGTGTCTCTTTGAAGTGCTATTCAATGGCTTTCTGTTACTAAACCCCCCCCCCCCCCCCCCCCCCCCCCCCCCCCCCCCCCCCCCCCCCCCCCCCCCCCACGTTTCTGAAATTTACCAGACTGGACTGTTTTATCTCCAAATACTTTTGCATGGCAGTAGTATATAAAAAAAAAAAAAAAGCATGTGGACAGAAGTATGGAGTTTGGTATTTACTTTGGATCATTAACCTGGTCTGTAAATTTGATTTGATCTCTCCTTTTTTTTTTTGTTCCTCCCCCCCTCTTTGTGTAATTTCAGAGCCCGCAAAGAGACGCTGTGTTTTGCTGCTTCGGGATCCCAGCAAGAAATGGGAGTCTGATGGATTGTAAACGCACCTGCTTTGTTTAAAACCCAGCCAAACAGATAAGTGCCCTTTTAATTATCTCACAACAGCATTTTAGACATAGCTGTGCACAACATCTCTCTGCAGTTCGGTTTCAATTCGGTGAGCCCTCTGTATTTCACCATTGCAAATGAATGCTCTGCGGTTCTCCTTTTGGCTGAGAAATACCAGACAATATTGGTATTTCACATGAGCTAATTAATTAGCGTCTGAGGGAACTGCAGCTGATGGTTCAGGGAGCTCCCAGGGGTCTTCACCTGCCCCTCCGGAGCTGCCGTCTCCAGCAGCCCTGTGAGGTTTTGGGACTCTGAGGAGCAGCTCTGCGGGACCAGACAAGGCTGATGTGACCCATCGGAGCCTTAAGGAGGAGTCCTCTGGGACTCATTAGAGGTTTAATAACTAAACTTGGCTGGTTTGATTGAGAAGATGCTTGTGCAGGCTTGGCGCAATCTCAGAGAAACCAGCTAATGCTGCCGGCAGGAGAGAGGGCTTTCTGCGTGTGCTATTCACATGTGTGAGGAGAAAGTGATAACCCTTGCTTCTTTCTGCCGGTTTCCAGGTGGGAAAATAGCCAGGGATGGGTGAAAGAAGCCCTTAGTTATACTGAGTTTATACAGGGCGTACAAAGAGGTATCGTGGGTGAGTGGTAACAAGAATTGTCCCCGCAAAGTTATGGGGACATTTATATCTATGGATGGAAAATACAGACTATCAAGAAAATAATTTCTGGCTGCTTAGATCTGCTTCTATAGGTGACCGCTGCCTGCCTTTGGACACGCCACTGTGATTATTAAATAATTTAAGAAATCCATAAAATATGGTCTCATGTACAGTGTAACTTTGCAATAGTATACAGCCATGGGGCTGAGGCAAATGTTCATTATACCTGCAATTTACTGTGTTAGAATCATGAAAAAACCACTAAAGCCGAGCGTGTGAGCATTGGAGGGGATGTGTGGCAGAAGGAGGGACAGGAGCCAAATTATCTACTCCAGACCTGTCTTGTCTGCTTTACCAGGGTTAATTAGCAGTGTAAAATGTCTACCTTGCTGTTAGGAAAACTACAAACAGGTTTGCGACAGCAAATTAGACTGTAGTAACTGATGTGAATTTGTCTTACCTGCCTAAGCAGAAGGTGAGTTTCTTGGTGAAGGTGCCAGCCTAGGACTGAGAGAGACACTGGAGGGACAAGACGGTGAAGTAGGAGGTTACTGCGGCGCGGGAGAACTCGATCTAGATCAACTCGTGTGATCCCTGGGGTGTCTGAAGTTCCCTCTTTTCTAGGAAAAACTTCACTCCTGCTGTTATTACCAAGAAAGTTTTTTATATTAATAGAAGAAATGACATGTCTGATATTAATGACTATGCTCTGTCTTACAATTGTAAACAGTACTTATTCCTCACTCTTCAATACTCCGATAGCAAAAAGGCTTGACAGTATATTAAGAAACACTGATAAAATGAAGCCCTAGTGAGAAAAATCAGGGTTTGTTCATTCAGCAAGGGTGGATAGGAAGTTAAAAAAGCTTAAATCATCTGTGTACCCCAACTAACAGAGCTCTTTGCTCCTGAAAAAAACAAACAAACCAACCAACAAATTTTCTTTTAACCTCAGATATCCTCAAGGTCTTGATTATTAGGTTTGCAACTTGAAATCTGCTTTCTGCCAGCGTGCTGATATTAATGTTACCCCAAATTAGGTCCTATTAAATTAACCCTAGCCTGGCCAGTTCCAGTTTGAGCATCAAAGTTGAATTTGGAAATCATATCCTGAAATCTGGCATGCAACTTGTAATGCTCTGTGCTCCTTGGCAGAAGAGGCAGAAAACACTTACAGTCCCTCTCGGGAGCTGTACTGATCTGAGAGATGATACTGAGTGTGTTATATGCACCCGTGGTGTGGTTGGTGCATCCAGCAGCTGAGGAGAATAGATTCAACAGATCTTGAAAGGTTTCTGCGAAAAATCTTGTCCAGAAAAGAAGACCCCTGAATCCCTAACTCTTTCCTTGTCTTACAGGTGAGCCTTGAGGACACTTGGGAGACCGTAGCTCCTGAACGCATGACCTTCCCCTGGGATTAGAAGAAAGTCATGGGGAAAGACAAGAAAGAAGAGGAGGCCATCTTTCTCAGGAAAAAGATAACTTTGCTGCGGGCTTTCTCGCTCCTCATCGGCAGCATGGTTGGCAGTGGCATCTTTATTTCCCCAAAAGGAGTACTGAAAAACTCCGGCAGCGTGGGTTTCTCCCTGGTTGTCTGGTTTGCCTGTGGGCTCCTCTCAATGTTTGGTGAGTGGTGAGCTTTGTCAGCCTTTGCTTAAGCACCTGGGAGGTGAGAAGAATAACCCAAAATTTCCCTGTTCCTACTGCAACAGAAACAAAGGTTTAACAAGCCGGGGTGGGGGGGTGAGGGGGAAGGTGTGTCACCAGGGATCTTTAGTTCAAATGATTCTCCCGGGGTGATTGAGAAAATCCCAGCACTTACAGTCTGTGAATATGAAATCATATGCAAGTCCAGGGCAGAGGAGTGACAACGACTGCGGATGGAGATAGCATGGTCTCTGCCAAGAAAGCTGGGAGAAAACGAGGGGACCCATTCTATAAGGTGGAAGGGAGATGTAGGCACCTAAAAGGCACTTGTGGGTCCGAGGGCTGTGCAGTGCTTTTCACAGACACTGTGAAAAGGGCAAGAAGTGACAGTCTTAATATGCCATAAGGGATCCCCTTTCTGTCGGTGAGGATAGAGAAGCACCAGAGCAGACTGCCTGGGGAGCTGCAGAGTATCCACCAGCCAGGGGCTGGTGTCTGGGTGTCTGTCAGAAATGGTTTGGATATGTCTGATGCTGCCTTGGGGCAGGAGATTGAGCAGATCAGTTCAGCCCTGCTTTCCGTGCGTTACCCTTGGCTCGGTTTCTGGCATTTAATACCAGCCTTTTCTCACAAAGGGTTGACTTTTTAATGACAGTTTCATTCTAGTTCTTCTGAAATAATGTAGCTCTTAAAGTTACGATGGATAAAACATATGGCTTTTAGTTTCCTTCATTAACTGTATAAAATTACCATCTCAGAAATGCTCTAAAGGTGCTGTTAGGAGAGCTGCAAGATCTCTCAGCTCTGGGGAGAAATCTGATGTTTATTTCAGTGGGTGACTTCAAAGTTCTTCTTCTGTCATAACTTAGAGAAAAAAAAACAAGGAAGGAGAAATACTCCATGTGGGGAAAAAAACCACTTTGGCACTGTGACATGTACACGCAAGTTTAGAAAAGGAGACATTCAACTGTTAATACGGCAACAAGTGTGGTTCCTGCTCTTAGCATATGCATACTGATATTTCATGTTGCAGCCTACATGTGGTTGTTTGGCGAAGGATATACTTTTGCTCAAAGAAAATCTTAAAATATAATGTGAGCATGGTGTTTCTTTTAACTGAGCAGAGCAATAAATGGTAACGTGTGTGCTGATCACATAGCCCAAGCTCTGCACTTGGAAAGGTTTCTCTCTCCGTTGCATCCTTTGATAGACTCTGCTGGAAGGGCCTCGGGAGCCTCTTTACCAAGTTATTGTATTTTGTAGCCAAATTTGTTGGTTTGTTCTTCCCTTTTATCAGCTTGATGACCTCCCCTGATCATTCCTCTGACACTTTTTTTGCAGTACATTAAAAAGGCCTGCTTGCTTTTATGCTTTTTTTCTTTCAAGTATGGCATCTATGTAAGTCCCATAGCATGAGTTCAGCAAAGCGCTTAAATGCATGCTTGAAGCATGTAAAAAGACCCACTGGGATAAATAAGACGAGGTGTCAGCCTATATTAGACACTTTGAACAGGGATTCTGCACAAATTTGCCAACAGAGAGGCAGGAAAAATTGAGGTCCTCACCATCGTCATGACCTGAATATGGCACAATCGCCATGGGACTTGGAGGCACGGCCATACCACCACAGGGTTCCGCTGCGCTCTCCCTCCACAGCTTCCTGAGCTGGGCAAAGAAGTAGATAGCACAGCTAGAGATGGTCTTACCCCACAGGGTCACATCCCAGCAGCACTCACCCCATTGCAAGGAGAGTTGTGCTCAAAGAAGTGAAGTGTTTTATTTCTTTTGGTGAACAAAGGATGTTTAACCTAACAAGTGAATCCAGTGTAGGCAAGGCTTAAGATTCATACTAAAACACATTCAAATGGCATGATGAATTGCTCTATAGAGAAAACACAGATGGGATTTTTTTTTGGCACAGGTGGAGGCATAAAGGTTTCTATCCATTTGCCTGAAAGTTTTAAGCTGTCTTCCCTAGCGTGCCTCTCCCGGGGTTTCTCATTGTGCCCCGGTGCAGGGGTAGGGAGGTGCAGAGGCGCTTGTCAAGGCAGGAGCAGGCAGTCCCCAGGTCTGTTGGTGCACTTGAACATGAACATGAGAGAAGAGACTGACTGAGCCTCTCATAAGGACGCTTCCCTTGCTCTGCACCACTGGGGCCTTCTTTTCCTCCAGTGGCAGGTCGTCCCTCTCAGAGGAGATGCCCTTGCTGGTCCTCTGTCTGGTGTCTTCGAATGAAGGAAGATATTTATGTGAAGATGCAAGATAAGGACACAGGAATGTGGTCTGTGATCAAAAACATGGTTGAAATGACTAGTTCAGCCATCGCCTGTCGGCTGAGCTGCTGTAACTGCCTTGTAAGCACCATCTCACCAGTCTAGCTGTGAGGAGAAGCGAGAACCCAAACCTTCAGGATGTTTTCCGAAGGAAATCTCTTGTAGCTTAGTGCAACGTTTCTATCACACACCTTTTCACATGGAAACTTCCATGGAAAAGTTGTGTCATTAACCAGAAAACGGATAATTTCTTTCCTTCTGACAGAAAAGTCAATTACTTCAAAACTTACTTCAAAACACTGTAGCACACAAAAATAGGGAAGAGTAGTTCTAAACCCCCTTTTTTTCCTCTAATTCACTACTTATTTTAAACAGATTCATTGAATCCCTGAAAGTCACCCAGAAAAGAGAAAATCCATGGGATGATTTACTCAATGCATTTCTACCTGAACTTTTCCAGGTGCCTTGTGTTATGCAGAGCTTGGAACAAGAATCACCAAGTCTGGAGGACATTATATCTACATTTTGGAGACACTAGGGCCTCTGCCAAGTTTCTTATTCCTGTGGGCAGAGTTTTTTGCTATCAGGTAAGAGATTTTGTTTGTTTGCCTTTTGCTGGATGCTGTGACGATTTAAAAAAACAAAAGTTACGGTGCCAGGTAACAGCCTAGGCAGTTTGTAAAGGAAAGAGTAGAAACAATCTGAACAACTTTTAAAGATTTTCAGTGATAAAAAGAAGAAGGCATAATGAGTAAATAGTTACATGTGTTCAATGTGATCTGTACTTGAAGAAAATATCTCTTCTCTGGCAGCTGGTATCCTCCAAGAGCCCTGGTATTTTTCAGAGACTGACAATAGATGCCAGATTTATTTCAGATGTTCTGTTTTCATCGTGAAACTTTCTCAGGTTCTCCTGTGGAGACAACTTTCTGGCTTAGCCCTGAGTTAAATAATCATAGAATCATAGAATGGTTTGGGTTGGAAGGGACCTTAAAGATCATCTAGTCCCAACCCCCCTGCCATGGGCAGGGACACCTTCCACTAGACAAGGTTGCTCAAAGCCCCATCCAACCTGGCCTTGAACACTTCCAGGGATGAGGTATTCGCAACTTCTCTGGGCAACCTGTTCCAGTGCCTCACCACCCTCATAGTGAAGAATTTCTTCCTAATATCTAATCTAAATCTACCCTCTTTCAGTTTAAAGCCATTACCCCTTGTCCTATCACTACGTGCCCTTGTAAAAAGTCCCTCTCCAGCCTTCTTGTAGGCCCCGTTCAGGTGCTGGAAGGCTGCGATAAGGTCTTCTCGGAGCTTCTCTTCTCCAGGCTGAACAACCCCAACTCTCTCAGCCTGT